ACGCACACACACACACACACACACACACACACACACACACACACACACACACACTCACACACACACACACACACACACTCACACACATACTCTCACACACACACACACGCTGCTCCACATCACTAGTGGGTCAGTGCAGTTACAGCAGGTTTCTATCTATGGTCTCTAAGGTACTGTTGACCACATAAGCAGGATTAACTTCTTGTCTCTTCTCAGAAACAGCCTCCTAAATAGACATGAAGAGCATAAACACTCCAGAGAAACTTTCACATGCTCTTGAAGCTCTAGATTAGATCCCAATGCTGAAGATTTTCCCTGAAGTTTCTCAAAGCAAACCTGACAAACACTTCCTATCACAAAGCAGATTTACGTCTCAGATTTCTTAATGCGACTCTCTCCCCCATTGCACATGAAATGATCTGGTCAATGTCTTATGATTTATTGATGTTCAAATAAGACCTCCATCAGTGGAGGGAAAATGCAAGTTGCGTAAGACAAATAATCAACATCTGTGTATGTGGTCTCTGTAAAAAAGTCCAGTTAGTTTTATTTAGGTAAATGTTACATAATGCATATCATATGCTTTAACACAACAAAAGTTATTGGGAATGAAAGTTTTGGTTTGACCCAAAATAAGAGACTTCATTTGTTTAAATAACAATCCTGTCTTTACAAAAAGACCATTTATAGTTTACTGTATAGGTTAAAAGATCTGAAAATCACTTTCAAAAGCAGCTTTACAGTGTTAAGCAGGAAAATAGTGTGTCGATAATGCAAGAGGACAATAATAAACACTCAAAGTCATTGATCATCAGTGATGTCATTGTCCAGCTCAGTTCGGTTCTCTTCCAATAATGTTTGTGCAACCATTTCGACAACATTGCCAGAAATTAAGCGTCCCCAACTAAGCAAGCCAAAGGCGAAAGTGGCAAGGAACCAAAACTTTAATGCGACTCTCTCCCCCATTGCACATGAAATGATCTGGTCAATGTCTTATGATTTATTGATGTTCAAATAAGACCTCCATCAGTGGAGGGAAAATGCAAGTTGCGTAAGACAAATAATCAACATCTGTGTATGTGGTCTCTGTAAAAAAGTCCAGTTAGTTTTATTTAGGTAAATGTTACATAATGCATATCATATGCTTTAACACAACAAAAGTTATTGGGAATGAAAGTTTTGGTTTGACCCAAAATAAGAGACTTCATTTGTTTAAATAACAATCCTGTCTTTACAAAAAGACCATTTATAGTTTACTGTATAGGTTAAAAGATCTGAAAATCACTTTCAAAAGCAGCTTTACAGTGTTAAGCAGGAAAATAGTGTGTCGATAATGCAAGAGGACAATAATAAACACTCAAAGTCATTGATCATCAGTGATGTCATTGTCCAGCTCAGTTCGGTTCTCTTCCAATAATGTTTGTGCAACCATTTCGACAACATTGCCAGAAATTAAGCGTCCCCAACTAAGCAAGCCAAAGGCGAAAGTGGCAAGGAACCAAAACTCCATCGGTGACAGAAATGGAGAAAAAAACCTTGGGAGAAACCAGGTTCAGTCGGGGGCCAGTTCTTCTCTGACCAGACGAAACCAGCATGATGTGGTTTAATTCCAGGCTGCAGCAGAGTCTCATTGTGCAGAGGACTCATCTGGTTCCTGTGGTCTTGTCCCGGTGGTCGTCTGAGACAAGGTCTTCACTGGGGATCTGTCTCTGGGGCTCATCTAGTTGTCCTGGTCTCCGCTGACATTCAGGGCTGTAGAGGTCCTCTCTAGGTGCTGATCCACCATCTGGTCTGAATACGTACTGGATCCGGGTGACTGCAGTGACCATCTGACCTGGATACAGACTGGATCTGGTGGCAGCGGTGACCTCGGAATAAGAGAGAAACAGACTAATATTAGCGTAGATGCCATTCTTCTAACGATGTAGCAAGTACATCAGGTGTTATGGAGAGTGTTCCCTTTCGGATGAGAATCCTTTAACGGATTTGAATATTAGAAATGTGTTAGTGTGT